TCTATATAGTTCTCTCTCATCTGTTTCAATGCAGTATACGTAATTTATCCCATCTTTCTCAGTCTCCACTCAACCCCTATGTCAGTCCTGTTTTACAACAGTGGAACTATGCAGTAATTGTCCTTTGGTGACCGAGATATTTCACTCAGCTAATGTCCTCCAGGGTCATCCATTTTGTGTAATATTTCATGAGTTCCTTGTTTTTCAATGCAGCAAGGTATCCATTGTGTGAATATGCCACAGCTTCTCTATCCATTCATTTGTTGCTGGGCACTTATGTTGTTTCCAACTCTTTGCTATTGTGAACAAAGAAGCAGTAAACATGGGTGTGCATATATCTGCTTGGTCGGCAGTTATGATTTCTTCGGAGTATATTCCAAGTAGTGGAATTGCTGGGTCAAATGGTATTTCTGTTTGCAACTTTTTGAGAAAATGCCATACTTTCTCCCTGAGTGGGTGCACCATTTTACACTCCCACCAACAGTGAATTAAGGGTTCCAGTTTCTCCGCAACCTCTGCAGCATTTGATGTTTGCTGTTCTGTTAAATTTTGCTATTCTTACTGGGATGAGATGATATCTCATAGCTATTTTGATTTGCACCTCTCTTAGAGCTAGGGATTTTGAACATTTCTTCACATGCTTGTTGGCCATAAATTGTCTGTTCATATCCTGTGCCCATTTTTCAGTTGGGTTGTTTATCTTGTGGTGATCGAATATTTTCTAAATTCTAGATATAAGTCCCTTATCTTACATGTCATTACCAAATACTTTTTCCCAGTCTGTGGCTTCCCTTTTTACCCTGTTGGAGAAGTTTTTGGGTGTGAATAGGGATTTAATTCTTAGAAGGTCCCATTCATCTATTTTATCCTCTTCTGGCTGTATATTTTTCAGGATGCTTGGAAGACTGTTAATGTTGTGGATTAGGACTACTAGAGTTCTTCCAAGCTTTTCTTTAATGAAGTTTATAGTCCTAGGTCCATGATCCACCTTGAGTTGGTTTTTGTGTCCGGGGTAAGGTATTTGATCTTGCTTGAGTTTTCTGCAGATATTTTTCCAATTTTGCCAACACCATATGTGAGAAAGGACTGATTTCATCTCTTTGTCAAAAATCAGTTGACCATAGGTAGATGGGCTGATTTCTGGGTTCTCAATTCTATTCCATTGATCTATGTGTCTGCCAATTGTACCAGTACCATGTTGTCTTGACCACCATGGCAGGGTAGTAGGATTTGAAATCAGGGAGTGAGATACCTCCTCCCTTGTTTCTCCTTTTAAGGAGTGTTTTGCTTATTCAGGGGTTCTTTTCATTCCAAATGGAACTGGAGTTTGCCTTTTCCATCTCATTGAAGATGTGGGTAAATTTTTTATTTTGAAAATATTTGATTGGTTTGCACTGAACTTTCTAAACAATCCAAGTTAAAGTTTAGAAATGAAAATTATTCAAAATGAGTCAGAATTAACAATCATGGCCCAATCATGGAAATATGCCTGTCTATGTGTATAATTAGAATTTACTCATGGATTTTAAACTG